TTCTTGCCGTGCCCGTCTCGGGCGTCCAAAGCCCAGGGCCGCGGAGATCAGAGCTACGTGAGCTGATTCTCAGCCCCCCCCTTTGCTACCCCCCCCTTTCGCCCGGCCCAGAACCAGAGTCAAGCCTCGGCCGCGCCTGGAAGAGATCAGGGCAGAGTCGGGTGGCGTCCGGGCCGCGGAGACCAGTCTAGGGCCGCGGAGACCAGTCTAGAGTCTAGGGCCGCGGAGACCAGTCTAGGGCCGCGGAGACCCAGGGACAGACTAGGGCCTTGGCCGCGCACGGAAGAGATCAGGGCGGACGCGGGTGGCGTCCGCGAGCCGCGGCACGGCAAGACGTGCGGGCTCTTCGGGCTCGGGCCTCCGAGCACGGGTCGTGCGCCCCGGATCGCGGGCGACGGGGAGTCCGGCAGGGGTGCAGTCAAGACGCCGAGGAGGAGGGGGAGGAGGAGGAGGAGGAGGAGGAGGAGGAGGAGGAGGAGGAGGAGGAGGAGGAGGGAGGAGGAGGAGGAGGAGGAGGAGGAGGAGGAGGAGGAGGAGGAGGAGGAGAGGAGGAGGAGGCGGAGGAGGAGAGGAGGAGGAGGAGGGGAGGAGGAAGGAGGAGGAGGAGGAGGGAGGGGAGGAGGAGGAGGAGGGGGAGGAGGAGGGGGAGGAGGAGGAGGAGGAGGAGGAGGAGGAGGAAGAGGAGGAGGACGACGAGGAGGACGACGAGGAGGAGGACGACGAGTGTAAGCCCAAGAGTCATCAACGAGGTTGGAATAACCCTCCCTCCGAGTTCCCTCTTCATAGGCCCCTGTAACAGTTCATCTCCACTGAGGGAAGTGCCTCGTTGGAAGATAGCCGTTTGATGATTTTGAAGCATGCCAAAACATTGTTCTTGGGATTCCAACGCCACGGATCAACCTGATTGTTGCATCTTGACGATCCTGAATCGCGCCAGAAAGCCATCTTTGGGACTGCAGCATCGCGAATCAACGTAGCTGCTGCACCCTCATAATCACGAGTCCTTCCAAAAAGCCATTTCTGGTCATGGGAACCCGCGTAAATCCAGCATCGTTTAAATCTACAAAACGAATGTTGGCCGGATGTGCGCTCCGCCTGGCCCGCAGTATTCCACTTGGCCTAGACGGGCCCCAACTGGTCCAACTGGCCCTGCTGACCCAACTGACCCAACTGACCCCAACTGGTCCAACTGACCCAGGTTACCCCGACAGGTGCAAACGATTAGTGGTCCCCTGTTTTGCGCCCACACCGCGACGGGCGGTGTTTCGCTATTTTCGGCCCCCCGGGGCCCTTTCCGGGCCTCGGGACCTTCAAAAAACGACTCGGGATGAAAAGCCCGTCCCCGGGAAGGGGCCCAGACATCACAATCACGACGTCGGGGGTCTGGGTGCGCCCGACTCGGTTCGGCCAGCTCGGTTCGCCGGGACTCGGTTCGCCGGGGCTCGTTTCGCCAGCGCTTGTTGCGACGGGGCTCGTCTCGCTGGGGCTTGGTGCGCCAGGGCTCTGTTCGGTATCGTTTAACCGATCCCTATCCCCATCCCCATCCCCTTCGAGACCCCCCCAAAATTACCGCCCTAGTGGGGGATAACCCCTCGAAACCCGAAGGGCACGACTTATATCCCCATCTAGAGGGGTAAATCGGCCAGTGGGGCCCAGGCCACGCCGCGCGGGATGCGGATCGGTTAAACGATACTCATCTGTTCGCCGGGCGGGCGAACGGGCGGGTCGGGTCGGGCGGGCGGACCCTAGCGGGCGGGTCGGGTCGGGCGGGCGGGACAGTAAGGTATGATGCGTCATCTAGGTGGCACGCGCGAGCCCAAACTTGCGGGTCGGGTCGGGCAGGCGGACCCTGACGGGCGGGTCGGGGCGGGTGGGCGGGCCCTAACGGGCGGGTCGGCGGGAGGACGGCCACTGCCTCGTCGAGGGCTGGAGCCGGGCGAACCGAGCCATGCGAAGCGAGCCCGGGCGAACCGAGCCCGGGCGAAGCGAGCCCGGGCGAGCTGAGCTAGGCGAGTCGAGCCGGGCGAGCTGAGCTGGGCGATTCGAGCTTTGGATCGAGCCGGGCGGATCAAGTTGGGGGACTCGAGCCGGGCGAATCGAGCTCTGGGCGAATCGAGCCGAGCGAATCGAGCGGGGCGAATCGAGGTTGGGCGAATCAAGCCTACGCCCACCTGCATTGTTCAGCGTTCCTCACGGAGGCTGTACAGCACCCCTTCTGGACAAGAGGAGGGAGGGAGGGCAACAGAGAAAGATCGTCGTAGCTGCCTTGATACGCCTGTTTCGAAACGTAACACGTGTCGTGTCCAAAACGTCCGTGGTAACACGTTGCGTATTGGTTCATTGTGTTAGCCCACGTTTGGGTGAACGTATCACCCCAACCGATGTTTTCAATCTACGTGTGAGCTCCGTGCCAACACGCTATGGGCTGCATGTTGCGATTCGGGCAGCTAAGGGAAAGATGCGGCAGGTTCGTGTCAGGTCGACGCGGCGGCGACCCCAGCTTGTGAGTGCAAGGTTGAGAGCCGCTTGTGATCGTGAATTTGTTGGTATCGAACAAAGTTGCGCTATCGGAAATTCGCGATCGTTCAAGGCCTTAGTTACCTCGATACGTCCGTTTTGAAACGCAACACGTACCGTGCTCAAAACGTCCATGCCAATACGGTGCGTGTTGGTTCAGCGTATTGGCCAACGTTTTGGCGAACGTACCGCGTCATACCTACGTTTTCAGTCTACGTGCTGAATTCCGCAACAGTGCGCCACGTGTTGCGTGCTGCGCACCAGGGCAGCCAATTCCACGGCTGAAGGGTCCATGCGGCGTCAGAAGCCGCCGCGTATGTCATGGCACGGACCCTCCAAAAAAAGGGGGGTGGACGGAGAACAAAAAAAATGAAGGGGGCAGGAAGGGAAGATGGCGGAGCCACGTGCGGAGCACGAGGGGCGGAGGAGAGTGGAGGGCGAGAGAAGAGGTGCCGGACCCGGGGCCGAAGTAGCTGGGACCAGGGGGCCGCACAGCACCGCCGATGCATGTGGATGGGGCCAGAGGACCGCACAGCACCGCCGATGCATCGGCGATGCGGCTCGATGTGGAGCCCGACGTTCTCCACGCCGGCGCCGGCGCCGCGGACGTGGCCGATGCATCGCCGATGCATCGGCGCTGCGGCACGATCCTCCGCCCCCCGCCCTCTCGGGCCCAGTGGGGGCGGCCTCCAGAGACGGAGGGGGGCCACGCGGGCGAGCACGAGGGGCTCAGGATGGGCGGCGGGCGAGCAGGGCGAGGTGCAGGACGCGGGCCGCTGTCTGGGCAGACGTGCTTGCTCTTGCGGCCTCCACGGACGACCCGGACCTCCGGCGCGCCGCGGGCGCCCCCGCGCCCATTGGAGACATGCGGTGCCACCCCGACTTTCCCGACTCCCCTCCTCCCCCTCCGCCTTCTTCTCCTCCTCTTTTTCGTCCTCCTGCTCCTCCTCCTCCTCCTCCTCCTCCTCCTCCTTCTTCTCCTCCTCCTCCTCCTCCTCCTCCTCCTCCTCCTCACTCCTCCTCCTCCTCCTCCTCCCTCCTCCTTCTCCTCCTCCTCCTCCTCCTCCTCCTCCCCCTCCTCCTCCTCCTCCTAGGTTACGTGCGCTCCCTCCTCCTCCTCCTCCTCCTCCTCCTCCCTCCTCCTCCTCCTCCTCCTCCCCCTCCTCCTCCTCCTCCTCCTCCTCCTCACCCTCCCCCTCCCCCTCCTCCCCCGTCCCCCCCGCTCTCCCTCCCCGCGCACCTGTGGCAGGCCCTCCGCTGCTCGCAGCAGGGCGCGACCCGTTCGCCGCCGCCCATGGCCCGCGCCGCCGGCCGGCGCGGGAGCATCGCCGCGGCCACGGCGGGGAGGGGCGCGGTGCCGGGGAGCGGCGCGGAGCGGCGCGAGCAGCGAGCGGCCCGCGAGCGCACCCGCGGCAGCGCTCTGCGTCGTGCCCGCTGCCCGCCGGTCGATGCGATCGGCGTGGGTGCAGACAGAGTGGGCATGAAGGCCAACACCGAAGAGCTTGGCATCGCTCGGACGTGTGCATTTTTCCTTCGGCGTGGGATATCGAGGAGCATCCTATCATTTGGCGAAAAAGCCACGCACGAAACCAACAAAAACACAGGAAATGGACGTCCGAGCGATGGCCAGAGAGAGAAAAGCAATGGGCATCGAAGGCGCAGCGCCATGAACCTAAACTTTCGACGGCCCGCGCGGATTTCTTGGATCCGGGCTGGAACCCCCTGGCGGCGCCTCCAGCGCCGCCCCTGGCGCGCGGAGCGCGCCAGGAGGGGGGGGGTCCAGCGCAGATCCAAGAAATCTGCGCGGAGCGCCAACACTTAATTTGTATATATATATATATACATACGCATACATATACATATACGTATGTGAGTTTTTTCTGCAACAGCAGTTCCTGGTCATTTTGAACGGGGTTCGTTGCTGGCGTCGCCGCGGACGTTGTCCACTTGAGGAACAAGGCCGCCTGCCCAAGAACGGCCGATGTCTGTTTTGGACAACATATGTTGTTGGGCATCGTGCACATGTTTGCCGGGGCGTTCAAAACCCACATGGCAAAGTAGCAGGGCACGAATGTTGAGTTTCCGACCTGGGTTCTGCTGCCCAGCTTTCTCGCGTGAGCACTGGCATTCGCGCGTAGATTGCCTGCGTGAGCTGCTTGCCGCCGTGGCCACGGCGGTGAGGGTCGCGGTTTCATGCCATCTATGTTTTACCACGGCTTGGTCCCGGAAAGGTCTCGGGCTCAGGGTTCTTTTAGTTATGTTAGATGTCCCCAGTGCCATGCAAGGGTTGGGCCAGCGGGAGTTGTATTTGAGAAGTAACAAGGAATCGGTGGACCAGTTGATTTTTGTTGTCTGACGGTGCTTCGAGCGAAGTGTTTGTTTTTGAAATCCCGATCGTGAAAACACCTGCTCAAATGAGAATGTGTTTCATTGTGCCAATGTTGTTGACGACAAGCCTTTCCCGCAACATACACAACATAATACATCATTATGCGACCGTCGATTGTCTGGCGCGGGTGCCGTCGAGGGGTTCAAGCCCTCACTGCTCAGGCGTCGCATCCCACCCTCACCTCCGCGCGCAACAGAAAGTCTTTGAACAATGGGCCCTCAGCCGGTCGTATGCGACCTCGTGGCGCGTGTGTTGTTGGACCCTGCTGCGGCGCAGGCTTTGATGGACTTGGTGGAGCGGACGCCAGAGTTGCGCCACAGCCTGCTCGCGCCACCGGTGGTTGCGGGCGATCCCGATTTCCGGAGGCGCACGGCCACTGTGGGCCCTGCGGTCGCCGCGCCGCCCCCCGGTCTCGAGCACCTCGTCCCCACCGCTCCCGCCTCCGCCGCTGCGAGGGCTCCTGCAGCGGCCTGGCCAGCCGCAGCGATTCGCACCGACGTTGTGAGCGAGCAGCGGGCGAGTGCCAACCCGCAGAAGGCGGCCCGCCGGATGACGTTGGTGCTGGCATATTTTCCTCGGGGCGCTTCGGACGGGGCCATCTGCTCTGCGCTTGACGCCGCGCTGGGCGAGATGAGCACGGTCCGTCGCTGCCGCGTCGTCCGCGACCGAGAGGGCAACGGCCTCTATGGCTTCTTCGAGTTCCAGGACCCCGAGACCGCGGAGTCCGCCCTCGCGGCCTGTTCCCGCGGCTCCGTGGTTCTGAGCGACGAGGGGGGGCACATGTGGCACCTCCGCGCCAGCCGCAGTGAGAGGGCCACGGTCGCGAACAGCGAGTCCAGCGCCGCGCGGCGCCGCCGAGGCAGGAGGGGCGGCGTCGCCCAGCACGGCGTTGCCTGATGCCACGAGAGCGCCAGCGTGGCGCTGCCTGCCACTGATGCACGGCGCTGCCCTGCCTGCGTCTTTGCGGAGCACCAGCCGGCCAGTGGCTGGCCGGTGCAGCGATGCGGGCAGTGGTTGTGCGCCGGCGAGGCCAACGTATAATGTATACTTTCCTCCTTTCGTGTTTCTCCTGCCTTCGGCGCACTCCGCCCCAGGCATGGATCCAAAAAGCTAATTGTCGGATGCGACCCACTTTGCCATCGTAGTTGTTGTTCGGCTTGCCGTCGGACCGGTGCTTTCAGCGCGCAGAGATATATGCGTGCTCCCTCCCAGCTTGTATGTGGCAACGCCAAGGTGGAGTTGGGAGGAAGGTCGAGCGGTGGCAAAGCGTCCTGGCTTGCCTATAGGGCCACCAAGGAATGTTCTAAGAACCTCTTGTGGTTTCCACGAACTGTTCTTAGAACATTTCTGGCTGAGACCGTCTTGGTTTGACACATCGGCTCTATGTTGTAAGAACAGTGGTTCTGTTATAAGAGCATCTTCTGGCTCTAAGAAAAAAGTGGTAGGCATATAGGAATGCTGGGACGGTCGGCCGCTGCTCCAGAAGGGTCGAAGCGATCCAGTCGGCTGGGTCGGTGAAAGGGTCGCTAGCCGCCAGCTGTTTTACCTTGGAGCCGGCCCCGCCAAGGCACGAGCGCTTGAACAGCCCAAGACCGTTTGAATTATTCGGCTGGCATCTTGCAGCCAATTTCAATACCCGCTTCCGCACACCCGTCACACGTTTCGCGCCGCCGTGTGAGCGGGGCATCCCCAGTGGCACGCACCAGGCGCGAAGGTTTCCTCAGTTTCTTTCTTCATCCCTCTGAGTTCCCCCTCCTCTCCATTCATGCCTACACGCCCGAACGAGAAGATTGCACGCACACCACGGAGCTGCAGATAGCGCCGTCGAGACCCCAACTCACCGCACCCGCAGAACAGGGGGGAGCTTCAGGCAGCACCTCGCGCTCCCGCCCGCGGGCCCCTGGCCTGCTGGCACCCAGACACCCATTCCAAGACATTCTAAGACGTACTGGAAGTGGTGGCAGACAGATCGCGCAGCGAAAAGGGATGCGTCGTACATCCACGCTGGCCAGGCAGATAGCACATCTCACGGAACACGTCTGGAAGTGTTATTTGACCGTTCGGGCGTATAAACCATTGCATACCGTTGCCATCGTCGCGTTGACGTGTTTGCGATATCTGAAGGGCTTCGCCCACTGCCGTCTGATTCGACTCCTCTGGCTGACGCGTAGATGAGTGATCATTTGGTTGATAACGCCTGTTGGTTTTATCGCTGCCATCCTAAGGTCTTTCTCAACCCTTTGTTTTGAAGAGAGCACTACTGCCTTCTCCCGTCCTGCCTCCCTTTTCCTCGCAACCCTTCTGCCTCTCACCCGTCGCCTGCCTTTTACGTGCTGCCTGCCTCGTGAGTGCCTCCTGTCTCGACTCTTTGGAGGGTGGCGAGCTACGAACTTGTCGGCGCTTTCGTGGGCTCCTAGGGGGTTCCGGCGCAGTGCAGTGCTCCCCAGACCAAAATGAGACATCGCCGTCCATGGGCTTCCGAACTGCAAAACTGGAGCGACTTCCGTGGGCTCCTGGGGCTCCAGCGCTGTGCGGTGCCACCCTGACCAGAATGATGCATCGCCGTCCCTGGCGGTTTCGAGCTGCAAAGATGTCGCGACTTTCGTGGGCTCTTGGGGGATCTGGCGCAGTACTGTACCATCAGACCAGAATGAGACCTCGCCGTCTCTGGGGGCTGCGATCTGCGAAACCATTGCAACTTCCAGGTTTTCTTGGGGGGTCCAATGCATTGCTGTGCTACCCAGACCAGAATGAGACCTCGCCGTCCCTGGGGGCTGCGAACTGCGAAACTGTCGCCAGCTGCGTGGGCTCATGGGAGGTCAGCACAGTGCGGTGCTTCCCAGACCAGGATGGGGCATCACCGTTCCTGGGGGCTGCGAATTGTGAAATTGCCACCACTTTCTTCGTGGGCCGCTGGGAGGCCCAGCGGAGTGGTGTCCGGCGCGGATCCAAGCTGGGCCTCGCCTTCCTAAGGGCGGGCAATTGCGCAATTGTCGCCACTTCCGTGGACTCCTGGGAGGTGCAGCGGAGTGGTGTCCTACGCGGATCTTGCCGGGACCTCGCACTCCTTGAGATGGGGCCCATTGTTACGTTCACTTGCTTCAATATTTCACCGGGTGAGATTACAGATGCTGTGATTTATTTATTGTAAGACGTTCGGACTATTTGCGCTCAGCGTTGGTGCCCTCTCCAGCCTCTGTCGGGCCATCTTGGGGGCAATCCGTTGCATCCTGGAGGCCTTGAACCGCCCAGAGATGTCTTGAGATGTCCTGGGAGGCTCAGAGGACGTGGCATCGCTCGGACGTGTGCATTTTTGTGTTCGGCGAGGACCATCAAGGAGCACTGTGGGTCACCTTACGAAAACATGCACGCACGACATCGAACAAAAATGCACAGGGAATGGACGTCCGAGCGATGGCGAGAGGAGCCCTGGGAGGCGCTTGGGGAGGCCTGGGAGTCGACGCTCTGCAGGGCCTCTGGAGGCCTCTGGAGGTGCTGGTGGGCCCCGGGGAGATTCCGGGAAGCCGTCGACGGCCCTGGGACCCTGGGATCGGGGGCGGAAAAGAGGAGGGTGATGACTAGGGGGGGGGGGGGATATCATGGCGTGGGCCATGATATCTCCCCAGATTTCATGGCGCCCCTTCTTGTTTCATTGCGTCCCTGGCCCCCCCACTGGGCCGCGCACATGCCGCTGGTCATGATTTGCACCCCCCCTCTTGGACACCCCCCTCTTGGCCGCTCCCGATGGGAGGCGTTGCGGGGCCTTGGGAGGCCCAGCGTTGGAAGTTCCAAGAGGCTCTGAGAGCGTAGATCCGTTATGTTTTGCAAGGGGCCGTGTTCCTGGCGGCGCGGATGCATCGATCGGCGGGCAGCAAGCGAGTATCGCCCTGATGACAGGCGTGGGCGCCCCGAGTAACGAGAGGCGGGAGATTGACACACGTAGTTGGGAGGCTCCGAGGCTGCCCTGCCAAGACGGCCTCAGACGCGCCTTGGGGACCGTCAGGATGGTTGAAGAGATCTCCAAGACGCTCCGAGATGCCCCAAGAGGCAAGAGGCCACAAGACGCGTGCGGTTGGCCCAAGAGAGGCCAAAGATGCAGCAGGCGATGTCCCAGGCAGCAAAGTCATATGAACATCATCAGTTATTTGAGTTGGGGTTTGCAGGCGTTGCCCAACATGGCGCTGAGAGGGCTTCAGATGGCCCCCATGCTTGGCGAGAGCGCCCAGATAAACCCCCCCAAGACGCACCAATGAGAGCCAACGGAGCACCCCAAGACGACTCGATGTATCCTCCAGAAGGACCCAACACGACCCAAGCGAGCCCCGAGACGGCCCCCAGAGGTCGCCAACATAGTTCAAGATTGCAAGAGGTAGGCCTGAAGGGAGGCTTCCAGAGGCACCACGAAGGGCCCCAGGCAGCCGAAAACATATAGAACATATGCGCGGCTTTTTATTGCGGTTGCGCTTCCCGCTACTCGGCAGAAGAAGGTTTCAGGAGCGTTTCAGAGCGCCCCAAAAACGGTCTAAGAATGCCCGAAGAAGACCCAGCACGTATAACGCGTTGTTTAAGAGGGTCCCCAGACGTCCCCGGAGGGCGTCCAGGCAGGTCCACCTCCCAAAAGGAAATTGCCCACGAGAGCGCCCAGAGCGTGCCAAGAGGACCACTGAAAGCCCCAAAGCAAAAGGTCCCAACGCGCTTCAAGATTGCTCCAGGAGGCCCCGCCGAGGCCCTCACGTGGCCCCGAAGGCGTGCCAAGGCGTTCCAAAAGGGAGCCAAGACGGTAGGGCACCAGGAGAGCCGCCGCAGTTTCGAGAAAGTTCCAGAGGGTCCCAAGACAATTCAAGAGCGCCCGAAGAAGATTCTTAGAGGGGCCAAGACAGCTTCCAAATATGATATACGCGCCACTCGGTCCAAGGGAGCTTTGGGAGGCCTGCAGGACGGCTCAGTCGGTTACCAAGGTTGCCAAAAAGTATTTCAACGTGTCCAAAGACGCCTCACGACCGTCCACAAGGCTTCACGGAGGGCCAAGTCACCCCAATCAGGCCTCCGGGGGAGCTTGCAGGCTGTCTGCCGCATCGCTTCCAGTTGTGGACGAGATAGATTTATGAGAGATCGTGGTTGCGGGATTGGTGTTTCGAATCATTTTGCGAGATATCGTGGCTTTGGGAACGTGGGGCACTGTTGTTTTTGATGGGTCGTGGCTTTGGGAGATAGAATCCGTTAGATCCACACGTGGTTCACGTGGCCCCTGAGGGCCCAGACGGCCCGCAAAGAGTACACGGCTCGGGATGGTAACGTGCCCCGTTCGTGCCGGGAGGCTTTGGGGGGGAGGCCCGCCGGCGCGTTCATGCCAATTGGAAGACAACGCAATTCAGAAACCAGGTGGCTCAAGCCGTGTCTCGTGTCCGGGAGTCCTGCTGTCGTCTGAATGGTTTCCTCCACAAGGCAGTGCGAAGTATCAATTTGCTAAGCCCCTGTGAGGGTCGGAGAAGTGTTCCGCGCAGCCAGCTTGGTGGCCTCCGCAGGGGGGAGGGCGGTGGAGGCTTACGTGCGCAAGACGTCCGTCACGTTGCGCCCTGCGCCTGTAGCACCCGACGGTGGCAACCGCATTTTCAGATTCGCCCTCTGCTTCGCATATACTGGTCTCCTGCGAAGCAGGGCGGCGCGAGTCGAGCTTTCGCGAGGCATCCAGTACAGCTTACAGTAGGGTCCCTTTCTGCGACGCAGCTACCCCAACAAAACACATGAGATGTATCGACGGTAAGCATGACTAAATGTTTGAGGTTGATGGGTGAAGGGCTTGCGAGCGGGAGAGTTTGGAGCGGGAAGCATCGCACCCAATGGAAGATGTGCATCCCCAGAGATTTAGTGCGGACCGGGGACGAAAATGAGGCCACGCGCATAATGTTTGCAACGATATGTTCTTGAAGCTTCATTGGTTCCCACCAGCCCATCCAGAAACGATGCTCAGGAGAGGTGCCTTGGTCAGGAACGCGCAGGAGCAAGCGGTGGAACAAAGGGGGGGGCAGCCGTTGAATCAAAGCTCGGGATCAGCCTGAGCGAACCCTGGAGCCAACCATACTGCCTTCGTGGGTCATTCGGTAAGGGATCAGTTTAGAAGTTCATGTGGTCAATACTGTGGCTATTTGGCAGGCTCCCTTGTGAATTCATAGTGGGTTTCTTGGGGGCCTTTCGGTCCCTCATGGAAACAGCTTGGAGGACATCGATCAAAAAAGATGCAGTATCGATTTGCCTACCCCTGTGGAGCTTGAACCATCGCCTGTTGGGGCCCTCGTGGGACTCTGGGATCGCTCTTGGGCACTCTTGGGGCCGTCTTGGCGCCATCATGGTCCCTTTGGGGGGCTATGTGTGGCGATCTTGGAGCCATCGTGAGGCCCTCCTGAGACGCCCATCGGAAGCGAAAAGGCGTGAAAATTTGAAACCCAGAGGTGTTTGAAGGATCTTGACATCTCGGAGGCGTCCTTGGGAGGCTCCGAGGCCACTTGGAGCCATGGTGGGGCATTCTTGGGGCCTCCTTCAGCTGGAAGCACTATTGAGGTAACTTGGACAATACTGCGCCATCTCGTATGCAGAATTATGGCGTCTTGGGCGACATCGGAGCCGCCTTGGCCCAGAGGCCTCCCTAGGGTGCTCCTGAATAACAAGCATGCGTCAAACACTTTTGCATGCTTCGATACTTTTGCTTTGACACACTGAGGCGGGAAAAAAACAGTCCCTTCGATGGAGCGCGAACAGCCGTCTCTCGGACCCATATTGGGGCACTCTTGAGATCGTCTTGGACTTGAAGCCAGGCTCCTATGGGCGATCTTTGAACCATCTTAGGGCTTCAAAAGCCCATGGCGGGCGAAAGTGGGAGACACCACAAATTATATGTATATATATATATATATAGATGTGCACATATGTTTTGGGTGATTTCGGCACATGCAGGAGCCTGGGCCTTCCGAAGAACAGGCCAGGCATCGCCCAGGAGTAAAAAGATCGGCTACACGTAAGAGTGACCCTTCGCCGGAGTGACCTTTGGTGCGGGCCCACTTGGGTCACCCGATCGCCGAACGCGAACGATGGTGGCGTCTCGCGCACTCGTGTTTGGTGCCCCCGCGTCCCCCGTTAAGTCGCGCATCAACGGTCGCAGCTGCGCTCGCGCCCTGCAGCTGCCGCGCCCACCGCCAACTTGCATCTGACTGGTTGGGCCGAAGCCCGCGTAAAAATTGCAAGAGTGACCTTGACGATCAAACTTGACGGGAATTGGAGTAGTTTTCAACTAGCAAACAGCGCACCTCCGCTAAGCGTCACTGACCACCGAACAGAATAGACCACCAGTCATTGCAGGCCAGGCCGCTCAAGAGCAGACCAGGCCCCGCCCAACAGTAAGCGAGACCACCGAGCAGAGCACGCCGGGCCGTCCAAAAGTAGACTCGGCCCCGCCCACGAGCAAAGCAAGCCACGCACCACAGTGCGCTGGGCCGCCCGAGAGCAGGCCCGCCCCCGCCCTGACATAGACCGGACCACCAGTCGCAGCAGGCTGGACCGCCCAAAAGTAGAGCAGACCCCGCCCAAGAGAAAACCAGACCACCCGCCGTAACAGGCCTGACCACCCAAGTGTAGACCAGAAACCGCTCAGAAGTAAGTCCGGTTGTCCATCGCATCAAGCCACACGTTCCGAAAGTTGCCCGACCCCACCCAAAAGTGAAACAGACCACCGATCAAAACCAATTGGACCGCCCCCCAAAACAACACAACTGTCTCAACCAGACCGCACGTCAAAGCAAGCCAGATCACTCAGAAGTAGACACGACCCCGCCCAAAAGTAAACCAGATCACCCGTCGAAGCAAACCAGGCCACCCAGCAGAGCAAGCCCGACCGCGCATCGCAGCAGCCCTGACCTCGGCAGAGCATTGCGCAATACCCGTGTCCGTCTCGAACCACAAGGCCGCCCGTCGCGGCTGATCGTCTCGAGGGCCAAGTATAGGCAAGGAATCGCGCGCGCCTCTTCTTCTGTTCGCGCGGATGGCGCACCAGTACAACGGCGTACTTCCTTACATGACCGTTGCCGTATTTTCAGTGCGGATGTTTTGTTTGTGTCATCGGCCTCGTGGTGTTGTCATTGGATACGAGGACAGTCGAGCAGACGATTCTGGATGAAGCAGCGACCCTCTAGGGAAAGTCGTCATGGCCTCCAGGCTCTCCGCATTCGAAACGGATCGACGCTCGTTACTATGACTTTGGATGGTGGACAGGTCAGTTCAGCACACCCCTCACACGGTCCGAGGCCCCAATGGAAATTCCACCGAAGGCCCCAGTGGCAGTGCTGGCATGCCTGCACCGCCTCGTGTTGGCACACTGCTCACGCGTTTCGTGGCCCCGCGCCGTTGTCCGCCGAGTGCCCCAGCGGCAGCGCCCGCATGGCGCCACCGCCCCATGTTGGCACACCCCATCGCACGCTTCGTGGCCCTGAAGTTTGGAATGGTCCACCGAGGGCCCCGGCGGCAGCGCCTGCACGGTGGCACCGACTCGTTTTGGCACCAAGTTTCACACGCTTCGAGCCCTATGGTGAGCTCCACCGACGGCCCCACTGGCAGCGCCTGCACGGCGGCACCGCCCCATGTTGGCACCTCCTCTCACGCGGTTCGTGGCCCCATAGTGAGCTCCCGCGAAGGCCTTAGTGGCAGCGCCGGCATTTTGGCACGCCCCTCATACCCTTCGTGGCAACAGCGTGTGGTCAACCGAAGGCCCCAGCGGTAGCGCCCTCATGGCGGCACCGCTCCAATTTGGCACACCCCTCACACGTCTCGTGACCCCATGGCGAGCTCCACCAAAGGCCCCATTGGCGGCGACCCCATGGCGACACCGCCCCGTTTCCATGGCCTCATTGGGAGCTCGACCGAGGACCCCAGTGGCAGCGCCTACATGGCGTTACCGCCTCCATTTCGGCACACTCCTCACGTGTTCCATGGCCCCATGGGGAGCGCCCCTCCATCCTTCCACCTGCCTTGCCGCATTCACACCTGCATGTGGTTGTGCCCTTCGCTCGGATAATTCCAAGTGTCCCAGGGCACCCCAAGAAATTCTGATGACCCCATTCTGATGTGGTTTTTGGATGCTTGTCGGGCTCTCTACCCACGTCAACATTGAAGTTAGAAAGTCTGTCATTTGTAGTATCATGTGGGGACGGGACACATGTTGCACAATATACGTAGCACACCTTGATGCGACCGTAAGTTGTCGGGCTCAAGTGCCGTCGAGGTATTGGAGCCCCAGATCGCTTTGGCGTCGCATATCCCCTCCGCGCTTGCTAAAAAGTCCCTGAACAATGTGCCCTCAGCCTGTCGTCGGCGACCTCGTGGCGCGCATGCTGTTGGATCCTGCTGTGGCGCAGGCAGTGATGGACATGGTGGAGCGGACACCGGAGTTGCGCAGCAGCCTGCTCGCGTTGCCACTGGCGGGCGATCACGGTTTCCAGAGGCGCACGGTGGGCTTTGCGGTTGCGCCGCCGCCGCCCCCCGGTCTCGAGCATCTCGTCCCCACCGCGCCCGCCTCCACTGTTGCCAGGGCTCCTGTAGCGGCCTGGCCAGCCGCAGCGATTCGCACCGACGTTGTGAGCGAGCAGCGGGCGAATGCCAACCCGCAGAAGGTGGCCCGCCGGATGACGTTGGTGCTCGCATATTTTCCTCGGGGCGCTTCGGACACGGCCATCTGCTCTGCGCTTGACGCCGCGCTGGGCGAGATGAGCACGGTCCGTCGCTGCCGCGTCGTCCGCGACCGAGAGGGCAACGGCCTCTATGGCTTCTTCGAGTTCCAGGACCCCGAGACCGCGGAGTCCGCCCTTGCGGCCTGCTCCCGCGGCTCCGTGGTTCTGAGCGACGAGGGCGGGCACATGTGGCACCTCCGCGCCAGCCGCAGCGAGAGGGCCACGGTCGCGAACAGCGAGTCCAGCGCCGCGCGGCGCCGCCGAGGCAGGAGGGGCGGCGTCGCCCAGCACGGCGTTGCCTGATGCCACGAGAGCGCCAGCGTGGCGCTGCCTGCCACTGATGCGTGGCGCTGCCCTGCCTGCGTCCCTGCGGGGCACAAGCTGGCCAGTGGCTGGCCGGTGCAGCGATGTTGGCAGCGGCTGTGCATTGGCGAGGCTTGTCGGCGCTCGGCTGAGAGGCGCTACCTCGTATATCTTCCTCCTCTCGTGTTCATCCTGCCTTCGGCGCACTCCGCCCCAGGCATGGATCCAAAAAGCTGATGATCGGATGCGACCCACTTCGCCGTCGTAACTTTTGCCTGGCTTGCTGTCGGGCCGATGCTTTCAGCGCGCAGAGATATGTGCGTGCTCCCTCCGAGTTGGCATGTTGCAACGCCGAGGTTGCAATCAGAAGAGGGGTCGAAGTGAGCCAGTCGGCTGGGTCGGTGAAAGGGTCGCTAGCCGCTAGCTTTTTTTACCCTTGAGCTGGCCCCGCCAAGGCTGGAGCACTCGGACCGCCCAAGAGCGTGTGAACTCTTCGGCTGGCCTCTTGTATCAAGCAGTGGCGAAGCGTCTGGGCTCGCCTATAGGCCTACCGAACAATGTTCTAAGAACCTCCCGTGGTTTGCACGAAATGTTCTTAGAACATTTCTGGTTGAGACTGTCTTCTTTTACACATCGGGTTAATGCTCTAAGAACATTGCTTCTGTTTTTGGAACATTTGTGAGTTCTAAGAACATCCCGTGGTAGGGCTATAGGAATGCCGGGACGGTCGGCCCCTGCTCAACTCGTAACTAATTT